GATGTTCAGTGTCACCCTGGAGAAAGCTTAATTTCAGAAGCAAATGAATGACCTTAATATACTTCTATGTAAATAGCTATAAAATGAATATAAATTTCCAGGAATTAAAACCAGAGAAGTTGCTCAAGGTATGTGCCAGTGGCAGTGAATAGTGAAATATATCAGGCAATAAAAAGTTTGGGCTAAATTCAGCTCTAGTACAAAAAATGCCTTTAGGTCAAACACTGATCCAAAGCCCTGAGCTCACAAAGCAAACAGGCAGATGCTTAACTGGAAGTACACTTCTTACCTGTAAATTAAAATTGTGTTCTGGTGCTTTACCTTTAAGGAGCCTGAATTGTTTTTCTAAATGTTGTTAAGAAGTAAAAAGCAGTATATAAATGAAAGTGATTGAATTTTTCTAGTTGCTGATCTTCAGAACATTTTTCTTATATAACAGTCTGCCTGTTGCATTAATGAACAGATGAGTCTTACATAGATTCACAAAATCACAGCATTTGAGCATAGTCACTTTTCTTTCATGTTCCTTTAAGCTGCTCATTGGTTGGCAAGAAATAGCTACTTGTAATAAAGACATTTCCCTGGCTAAAAATTAACCTTGTAGGAGAACAGTTGGTCCATTATCTTGAGTGCATCTTTTCTAAACTAAGCATATAAGAGAACCATTTTCAGAAGAGTACATTAAATTCTAGACACTGCTCCTGTTCATAACTGAAGCTATGAATATTAATTACCTGACCTAAAAATCAGCCCTTGATATTCTGGAGGAGAAAAATGTTTTTTTATTTTTCACTTTCATATTTAGTGGATAATATATCAATTTTTGGCTGTCCAAATGTAATCAGGCCCCTTACTGAGCCCATCCCAGACTTAGAGAATAAAGAAGTATTTGCCATGCTGTGCACTGTAGAAAAAGAGGCCTTTTTGGAGTCCATGGATAAACTACAGTGAATAGATAAAACATAAAGCAAGTTTAAAATTAATTGTTATTGTACATATAAATTAGTATTGCCCTTTTCTCTTTTATATCCCATCTTATTGCAATTTTTTTTTTGTTTGGTTTGGTGTTTTTTGTTTTTTTTTCCCCAAACAGATTGAATCTCATAATCTTTTAGGTATTCTACTCTAAAAAACAAGAACATTTTATAGGGGAATAAGAGCTGTTTTGTATTTTTTATCCTGTGAATAAAATGTCAAAAAAATAAATTAAATGTTATTTTGTAAGCATTTGCTACTTATTAATATGGTGAGAATTGCACTTTGAGATTATTTTTCACCTGTTATATTTGAAAAAACATGAGATTATGAGCTCAGTGTCCATATTTTACAGGGACCTCCTGGAGCAACAGGAGCTGAAGGCAGACAAGGTGAAAAAGGTGCAAAGGTAATACACTGAAGATTTTTTTTTACAAATAGAAATATAAGCTATTTAAAAATTAAAAGTAAATTGCTTATGATGCACTGAGTCTGGAATTTTTCAAAGTAGTAACACAATCATAAAATCCAAATTCAGACCCAGAATTAGTAGCAATATGTAATGGCACGGACCCAGCAGTGCAGGCCCAACACAGCTCACCTGTAACAAGCAAGGGCAGCCTGCTCTGCTGGCACCACATCTCTCTGTGAAGCCAGAGACATTTCACCCAGGAAATTGTCCTGTGCAGAATTCTGGCTTTCAAAAAGCACTTTGCCTCTTGTATATCCCTCCAGTGCCAAACTCAGTCAGCCCCCCTCTCTGACCTGGTCTGTTCTTTGCAGGGTGAACCTGGTGCAGAAGGGGCTCCTGGAAAAACAGGGCCAGTTGGGCCACAGGGACCTGCAGGAAAACCTGGCCCAGAGGGTCTCCGGGGCATTCCTGGCCCTGTGGTAAGTCATGGAGCACATCATATTTTAAATGTTGCATTCCCTGTATATACTCAGTTAAAGCCAGCTTTTTGTTTTTTTCTAGGGAGAACAAGGTATGCCTGGAGCCCCAGGTCAGGGTGGCCCTCCAGGACCTCTGGTGAGCATCCTGTTCCCATATGTCACTCACAGAAGCCTCCAAAAAAATCACTGAAAGATCTCTCTTCTAACATTTGAGAGCTTAAATATCCTGTTAAAATCTGGAACTATATTAATGAACTATATGCTTTCAAATGCACAGACTTCCTGTCAGCTCAACAAGAACTTCTCAATGCATTGCTGCAGCTTAATTTTGGATTTTAAGAAAGTAAAGTTGATACACAAAACATTCTGAGGTTAGATTTTCCCTCCTTCCCCTCCCATCCTCCACAGGAGATTGCTATCAGGAGAGTATGAAGCCTGATTTGCAGTAGAGCACAACACACTGCAGGTGAAAAGTCTGATTCTGTATTCCAAAAGCTTAAAAATTTCACATTTCATTCATGAATTATGTATTTGCCTAGGCTTTTGCATCTAGTGATATCCTGAAGTGGAGATGGAAAGCATAAGCACTGAATCATATTTTGCACATGAAATGTTATGGCATTTTTGAATATGTGCCAGGTGGAAAAGGTCTCTTATCACTCCTATCCATAGCAGAAGTTGTCCACTGCCACCAGGAAAGCAGTGGTGAGGAGACAGACACACACTTAATGTAGCAGCTCTACACCTCATGGACACATGTGCAGGGTGAGATTAACAGCCTCTGAAAAATTCATGTCTTTTGCACAGGCACTTCATGGCCTGCATTTTTTACCTTATTATGTACAAATTACACAAAAGCAGCATTTCCATTCTTATAAAAACCAAAGATTTCTCTAATCAAGAATTTAGTTGACCCTCTGCTCATAGATTTCTATTCATACAACCTTTTATAGATTTCTAATTATAAAGTAATTTAAATACCACTGTAGCATCATTATGATTTTTTTAAACATACATTTCATCTTGAGATCTAAATCATGTCACAACCATCAACCACTGAATGTGTACTTTGATTTGAACCGCCTTCAATAATATTTCAAGAAAATATGATTTGAGCAGGATGTTAAAACTTACTTTAACATTACTTCCCTTGATTTATATAGGGCCCACCTGGCTTGCCTGGACTGAAAGGAGACCCAGGTTCCAAAGGAGAGAAGGTATGCTTTGATAATTGGTTGTGTTTTTGTAACTTCAGCCCAGCCTAAAAGCTGTATAAAATTAGCAGAGAGAAGCAGTAGGGTTTGTATCAGCAAGGCATTGTGCCATGCCTATCTAACAACTTCCCACAGCCCTAAGAGTTATCATGAAGTTTTAAGCCATATCCAATATCCTGGAAATACCTAGAAAGAAAAAGATTACTGCCTGTGTGGTAATCTATTGACAATGTGGTCCCTGCAGTGAAAATCCCAAAGATATTGATGCAAAGAGAACTGTCAGATTTACAACAAAGAAAGTAGAAATTATGAGTATTGAAAATTTTTATTTTAAAATAACAAAATATAAATATTTAACAGCTATAATACTTTCTTTTGAAATAATGGATTGAGACATCTGGGAGAGCATTTTCCTAAGGAGTCCCAACAATATATTGATTGCTTGTGTATCAGAGATAAACCTGTAGAGAAAGAGGCATGAACAGGACTGTGTCTTGTGAACTGCAGGATTGTTTATCTGCTTGGATCAGCTGTTTATGCAGCCATATGACATGTGGAACTCTGTGAGATGCTGATGGCAGCTACATGTGAAAACTGGCATGAAATTTGTACCCAGGGTACTGTGATTTCTGCAGTGGTTTCAGTAAGGACTACCTTGCACTTGGATCTTTCACTGAATAAGCAGTCACAACTTGCAAATAATCTGAAAATTTGAAAGACCATCTAACAGCAATAAATATGTTTTTAGAATTTGTTTTCAGGTTGATTGTTGACAAGCAACAGTGGTAACATCTGAAAGGCTTAATTTATGTGTTTGCAAAGCACATTTACTTTAATGTATGCTGACTAGATTTTCTTAAATCTTGTTTAGGGACATCCTGGCTTGATTGGCCTGATTGGACCTCCAGGAGAACAGGGTGAAAAGGGTGATCGGGGTCTTCCTGGCCCACAGGGATCTCCTGGAGCCAAGGGTGATGCAGTGAGTACAACATACTTGTGTTTCCATTCAGGTTCCATGCAAGCAAGGAGTGTATATTCCAGGCTTCCTTCTGAGAGACATAAAGTCGTTATAAACATTTAACACCCAGAGTCTCCCACAAGAGGCTGAAACTTTCTTAGGCATTGTACAAACACAGCAATATTAAACATCTTAAAATGAGGCTATAGAGTGTTTTTGGAAAATGAAGGAAACACATATATCCCAACATACACACAGAACAAGTTAGAAACAAGATAAAAGTAGCAGCAGCAATCTCATCACATTTACTAATTGCATTACCTAAAGCAGCTCCCTCTCTTCTAGTTACTAAGCCATGTTTTTAGGGCACTGTGTAAAATGTGAGGTTTCCAAGCCAATCTGAAGAGGAACACAGCTCCGACAGCCCACTGCAGTCAGTGTAAGAACAACTACAAGCAACTCAGATTGTCAGATCTAGTATTTTAAACTGCCAGCTATTTGGCCTCTCAAAACTATCTAACTCAAAACTCACCACAGCTGGACACTTAATGGGACTACCTTTTTTTATAATATGATTTTTTAACACAGTCCAGTATGTGGAATACTTTAGTTCTGTGCTTATTCTCTTATTCCTTTTTAGGGAATTTCTGGTCCTGCTGGTCCCCTTGGACCCCCTGGTCCTCCTGGATTACCTGTAAGTAATTTCATCCAGCCCTCCTGTTCTAACCACCCCCAAGCTGTGTGCAATACACTCTAACCAGAGTTATATGTTCTTGCCCATAGGGTCCCCAGGGTCCCAAAGGTTCCAAAGGATCCAGTGTGAGTAACTCTCCTCTATACTTTCTCCTCTTTTCCTTAGCTTTTGTGTGTGTTATGTTTAAATGTTGTATAGCATGGTCAACACTGCACTTCTTTCATTGCTCTCTAGGGTCCTGCTGGGCAGAAGGGTGACAATGGCTTACCTGGTCCACCTGGTCCTCCAGTAAGTAAGAATTCTTATCTTGCATTACCCTGACATGATGAACCTGTTTTGAAAAGGGTAGAAAACAATGTTAGGCAACTAAAATATGAATGATTGTTTGAAAATTCACTTTTCAGGAAACACAGATCCACCAGGCACAGAAATACGTATCTGCACTGAAAAAATCCAGAAGAAACTTAAAACAAACAAATAAAATAAACAAAAAGAACACACAAAAAACACCTATAAACCCCCACCAAAAAAAGAAGCCCCTCATGCAATAATTATTTAATGTGTTATATTGAAGCACAGAAAACAGAATTCTGCTGGTTTCCCCTGATGATACTCTTCTGTTTCCATACTCATTTTTATCTCATAACAAGCTAAAATGAAGAGTCCAAACCAGAGTTTGGAAAAGTTTTCAACTTTTATCATAGGAAACATCAGGAGTTTTCAATTTTTCATAGAATATGTCTGTGCTTGAGGGAATTAACAGCGATACAGAGGCAACTGTGAGTCAGTTGTGTGTCACTTGTGTGAGGGCAAGACACTCATCCCCAAAAAGCAATGTAGTTAGAAGAGTTTAGAGCACAACACTGATTTGGCCTTTTACAATATTTTTTGGTTTTTTCTTCAAGTAAATCATAGTACATAGGTATGAATCTAAAGGAAAACAAGTGAAATACAGAAGTAAATATCTTGAAGAAAGCCTATTCAAAGCATCTCCAAGCCACATTCTGTGGTTTTTCTCTGCTGAAAAACTAACAGAAGATATAATTAGATATGTTGTTTTTCACTTAGGGTCCTCCAGGTGAGGTAATCCAGCCACTGCCAATCCAGTCACCCAAGAAGACAAGAAGATCTCCTGACTATATGCTATCTGATGCTGGTGATAATATTCTGGATTATTCTGATGGCATGGAGGAGATCTTTGGCTCCCTGAATTCTCTGAAGCAAGACATTGAACACATGAAGTTTCCCATGGGCACTCAGAATAACCCAGCCCGGACCTGCAAAGATCTGCAGCTCTGCCACCCCGACTTCCCAGACGGTGAGCTCACAGTGCCCAGCACAGGACACAGGGACACAGGGCACAGGGCTGAGCCTGCCTCTGCCAGGGCACTTTGGCAGCACAATCCATTATTGGTACATGGCTCATACAGTTGCTCAACAAATACAGTCCCATTGAATCAAATCCATTTTGACAGGCATAGAGGTTTAAAAGTGTAAGACATGTTCTCTTGGTAAGAGTCAAAGCTCTTTAAATACATAACCTGATCTGGTTTTTAAGTTAAAACCAGTTAAAGTGATGAATAAAAAGCAGTTGTTGTTTTGAAAGGTGGGCCTTGCATTTCCAGGACAATCAAAACAGGAGTATGATGAAAGAGCGTAGTATAACTATATGAAACAGCATTGGTATTATATGAGATTTATGTTCAATACTGATTCTCAAAAACTTTACTAGTCTTTTAGTCCTGGAAGCAATAATTTTCTCTACTGCATCAGCACTGTTTATTCTAGATCAGCCAGCAATGAGGCATGGAAGTTTCTTTGACACTGTTTAATGCTACCAAGTAGTAGTGTAATAAAATGTATAATAATATGAAGACATACAGTGTCCCTAAGAACTATATTGATTTTCTTATTCTTTATTGTTTTCTTTTTCTTTCTAAATAATTTTACCCCTCTGAAGATGTTTAAATGAAAGCCAGCCTTCACTAAGTTTTCATCCTTTCATAATTTTTCAATTGCAATGCATATTTTTCCCAGTTCAAAGCAGTATTTTTCTGCTTTTAAATAGGAAGAAAAATAGATTTTGACAGTTTAATAATATTTTATTGCTTTCACTCTAGATAGATAAGAACAGATGGTTGCCTTGAGGAGTAGTTAAGCAGTGTATGTGCTATATGAAAAGTACATCTTTTACAATTCAGTACCCTCCATAATAAGGAATGGTTTTTACAGAAAACATTCACCTTCTGCATTTACCAGTATTTGCTTCTTCTTTAGAGCTGTCTTCATATAACAGTAATCTTATTTTAGTTAAAATAAAAGCAAATGTGTTCATTAAAATTCAAAATTTTTTCAGGGATAAGATTTACAGAAAGGAATGACTGTTTTCAATATACAGCCTAAATCAACAGAATTGTTAAACCCCACAAATACCTTGTCTATGCCCTACATTCAGAAGACAGAACTGGTGAAAGGATTTGTCATTTCTCTTTGAAACCTCCACTATTTGAAACTGGATTAGAACTGTAGTTGTCAGAAAGTCGCTTGCTGCCCTGTTTGTGAAACATCTGAAGATAAGAGCCCTCATCACAGAAATCATCATTCTAATTAGAATAGCAGATTTTAAAAAGCACTGACTTTGAATGGACCTTGGATGGGCTGCAGCTCTTTTCGTGCCCAGCTTTTGCTGGTGTTGCAGCTTCATAAGCCAGGAGTAAAAGGTCTTTGCTTGAGGTGGACCCTTTCAGGGAAAGCTGTAGGTGCCTGTGCCAGCTACAACCCCACCAAGCCCCACGCAGACCCCTCTGCATGCAGATAAGGATGCAAATAGTTCCAGATTTTGCTCCCTGACCTAAACCATTCAGATAAAATACATTTCCTACAAACTTTGGAGGACCATTAGGTACCAGTAAAGCCTGTTTCTTCTGAATACCGTTTCTACTGTATAAGGCAAATATTTTCTCATTTGTCTTAGGGGAATATTGGATTGATCCTAACCAGGGCTGTTCTGGAGACTCCTTCAAAGTATACTGCAATTTCACAGCAGGTGGGGAAACTTGCATCTACCCGGATAAGAAATCTGAAGGAGTAAGTACCAATCTGTGTTTTCAGTTGGCTGTTGACAGTTACTATTATGCTGTTACAACGTTAAACTAAACAGGATAATTACATTGCCACATTTTCATGATTCTGTCTTTCTAATTACATTTACATTTACATATATCTGAATGGAGCAGTAAAATGGTACATAGAGTTAACAAATACCATTTTCAACTTCAGATAGGGAATCTGTGCACCTGCTTGCTAACATTTCAGTACATTTCAGAATGCAACACAGCTGAGCAGCCACTTATAGCACACGATCTAGTATTTGTCAGCTAAAAGCTAAACCTTCCTATGTTTCTCTTGTGGGTTCATTTATATCTATTTATTCCTATGCCAAGTAGATGTAAAAGACTGTATTAACAGTGTCCTTACTCACTGTTACAGATTACATCTGCTGAGGCATATGGTATAGAGGAAGGCTTTCTGAAATCTTGCCTAAATGACAAGGATCTATTGGTATCAACACTGGTGAAAATTCATTTAGATACTTCATAGCAACAATTTATACCAGCAGCTTACCTGACTCTTAACAGATTATAACCAACTCCCTCAAATAGAACTAACTCTCTCTTAAATTCCATTTGAAGTCACTAATTTGAAGGCATTCTCTACAAGAAAAAACATTATATTTCAGACCTTTAAAGTGGCTGAGATTTCAGGAAGAACTATTCTTTATTATCTGGTGTGTTATTTGTCCCAAGTAACGCAAAACCTTCATATCTGTCAACATATGTTTCAAGTACTTCTGTCTCTGTTGTTTGACCACACAGGTTAGAATTTCATCATGGCCAAAGGAGAATCCAGGATCTTGGTTTAGTGAATTTAAGCGAGGAAAACTTGTAAGTTGTCACTGCAACTATAACTGTATTCACAAATTAGGTCCATGTTTTCAGCAATCAGCAAATCACAGGGAATTTTGTAAACATTTACATAATGAATAGACCCCCCAGCCCTTTTCCCCTAAATATTACAGCAGCTACGTGGTCTCTTGCCCCTGGACAGCAGAAGCCTGGTCTGTGTTGTCCCACAGTGATCCAAAAGGGCACAGCTGGAGGTGAGGATCTGGCCCCTGTCAGACACACCTCACCCCCAAACCTTAGGACAGCAGCTGGAACACAGATCCCCCACCCCAGTCTAGGTTACTGGAAATATACTGGGTATGCAGAAGTGGGGCTGCAGGCTGGCTAACTTTATGATTAACTAAAAACAGATTGCCAAACAGAGTCTGCTGCTTTACACTGTAAGGTAGGGGTAATTCTCTCTTTCCTAGTAGAACGAAGCTGAGATATGTAATTCTTCATCCTAAATATACTGCTACATCATGAAAATCTATTTACTGAGTCATAGCTGTATTGACCTTTAAAACTTCATATAATGTTATGTGTTGGTTGATATTTTTATTAAGGCCAGTTACATGATTCTCTTTTGTCAACAATAATTTTGGTTTGCATTGTACCAAAGAAAACAGATAAATATTCATCTAACTTTTTATATTTTCCAGCTTTCCTATTTGGATGTTGAAGGCAATTCCATTAATATGGTCCAAATGACATTCCTTAAACTACTGAGTGCCTCTGCCAGACAAAATTTCACTTATAACTGTCACCAATCTGTGGCCTGGCACGATGCACCCTCTGACAGCTATGACAAAGCACTAAGGTTCTTAGGATCCAATGATGAAGAAATGTCTTATGACAACAATCCTTACATCAAAGCTCTCCACGATGGCTGTGCAGTAAGTAGAGCTTCAAAGAGTCTTTACAAAACCAACCTGTCATTTAAAGTAGAAATCAAACAAATCTATTTTTTCACAGCTTTCTTCTGAGACAAGCTTTGTAAACACTTCACTTGTCATATACTGATTTTCAGTAGATTTTTAACCACAGAACACTAGTGCCATATTCAATTTTCACCTACATACAGAAAAAGATCTAACCACAAGCCAAGCACAGAAAGTGAAAAAACTTGGAATGGATGCAGGATGTCAGCACCACTGTGCTGAAATCAGACTATCTGCCACTGTGTATGGGCACAGTATAAGGAAAGAGCAGAAATAAAAAAGATAATGAGAGGAGGCAGCCTATAAGCAGAATATGTTGATACTAAAAATCAAGGTATACACAAATAGAATAGTTATTGAATACAGCAAAATACAGATATCACATAAGTCATATGTATGTACCCAAACATAGTGAATTAATTTAATAGTTTGATATATGACTCTGC